CCTTCCAAACAGCAGGGTGTAAACTGGGTGGATCAGGGACAAAGGCCCAGTTGGTCTCACTCTGGCTTTTCTGGATTATTATCAGCAACATCAGGATCAGTATTTTTTGGTTCCACACACCATATCAATTGAACTTCAATTTTGTCCTCTTTCCCTATACCAAAACATTGTCGGGATCCTTTCATAAGCCAGTAGATGGATTTACACCATTAATTTACGCATTAGACCTGGGTAAATTATGTGGTGGTGCTTTCATGCCAAAATCTATTCATGGCAGATTGCTCACAGACATTTACAGTTTAAACATTTAAAATTTTAAAATAAAATACACATATGATGACGGTGGGTATAGCCCTAGCTCCTCCTTTTTAATTATATCTTTAATTGAGTCTTAAGGCTCCCATATGCCCCTTTAGGATTTCTGCCTTTGCATAGTGCGTCATCTAAAATCTCTGAGATGAGTTTGTTCCAGAGGCTGAAATTGAGGTTTTAGCATCATTAACTTAATGGTACCCAGACAGGAGTTATCATTTATTAAAGGCATGATTGACCAAAATCCCTGTGATGACTGACAGAGAAATTTTCTTTTTATCTAACATTCCAGGGAGGGAACAGGGACAACGTATTTATTTCTGTAATTACTTCCTGCTGACCTTAGGACATTGCTCTCAGGGCCCTGGAAGACTACAGTGTTAGTCAAAGGCAATGAGGGAACTTAGAAGCATCTGGTTCACTGATAAGCTAAACAGACAGCAATCACATTGGCTGGACTGATCCACATCAGGTTTCAGAGAGTTCAGGACTCATAGTTATTTGGAGCAGGTTGTTATCAGCAGTTGATGCTTGGATGTGTTTGTCCCCCAAGTGGGAACCTGGTGAAATAGATACAAACTGGGAAGAAGTTAAAGTTATGAACTCACAGTCTCAATAATTAAGGAAGGGGAAGAGTCCCAAGACCAGGAGAGATAAAAAATACCATAATTCTTTTAACTCATGAGAAGTAGAACCAAGTTTTATAATTTTCTCAATTTTCTGAAGTTTATATGAATCTCCATTTTATAAAAAATACAAGTTTTAGATATATTAGCATTATCAATCTGTACTGAAATCCATATTGTAGAAAAAGCAGGTAACAGGTATCAATAAAACAATAGGAGTGACTCACATCCTTGAGTCCTAGCAAAAACTGTAGATTTGGGTTAAACAGCATATAAGCCTGTATTTAGAAGACAATGAAAAGAAATTTAAAGTCTTGAGCTTGTGACCCAAACAGTAAGCAGTCATTGTTCTATCAGTTTGCTGAACATTTTGAAGTCCTATTATAACAATACTGTGGAAGGGGAAATAAATCTTGTAATAATTTCTAAATACATCTTAAGCCATTATTTCTTATAAATTGTATTTATATTTTTCAGAATATCCTCTCAGACCTATATAACCCAAACTTTTATGCCTCAGACAGACCCTTACAACCTGTATTGATGTCCTCAGGCCTGTATATTTTTTATATCCTCAGAATTAATATAAACTCATAATACTAGCTTCTTGTCCTATTATTAACCATTATAGTAACAGTTAGACTGTAATTTTCATTTACCGACCATAGATGTTGAAGTTTTTAATAAACATGTTTGAATTTCTCTGTGAAAGTCTGAATAGCTAAGAGGCCAATCATATAGAACCCAGTAACTCAGAGGGCTACAATATGATGATTAATTATTAACTATTATGTAGGACCATAATCCTTCTTTTACCTTAAAGAACACAGTCTCATTATTAACATAACTAACTATTCTGCAGTGAAGAATCACCAGGATTTTTAATGACGAAAATCAACCAGAATTAACATGGTTAAATCTCCAACATTTTTTATAGTTTCCCTTTAAATTTAGCCTCGCACATAAAGGAATTCCTTTTCCTGTATCATTTTAGTGTCTTGTTTGTTCCCTAGTCCTTCACACAACATACAAAATCTCCATCAATGTCTCCTCGTGATTTCTTTCAGTAGTCCAGAACATTACATAGATACATTTCAAACAAGAGCTTAATTGTGTGTACACAGTAGAGTATACTTAGAAAAACTTAAAGGCTACTCAAAAAGGATGCCTAGTGAGATATGTTTTGTTTTTGTAAGACAAGGTTTTTCAATGTATACCTGGTTGCCTGGAGATTACTATGTAACACACAGTGGCCTGGAAATTGGAGCGATCCCCCTGTCCCTGCCTTCTGAGTGCAGGGATTACAGGCATGTGTTACCATACCAAACTTAGATTTTATTCTCAGCTTTCCTTGCTTCCCGTACACACTGTGCAAGTGATGCTGCTGGCTCACTTGACCCCAGGACTGCATCTTAAATCCCCCTTACAGTCGGTAGGGTTGATGAGCTTTACCTGTCTCTCCCTCCATCCGTCCTTTCCTATCTCACCGGGAAGCCTGTTTACTCACTTTTGTTTGCCATAGCAGAGTACTAAGTGAGGAAATAGGATCAAGTTGTGGCTTAGCATTTGGCTTTGATGTTACAATTGTTGCCTTCCCATCCTGCTTCTCCCTTGTAGCTGCAGTGTTATCTGCCTTTGGCAAATTAGCTTCCCTTTTAATCTCCAGCTTTCTGATTTATAAAATGGAGATAATAATTAATGCCACCTGGGGTTCTGGTGCGGGTCAAGTAAAATAATGCGTGTGAAGTAACTGGCATCGTAGTCAGTGCTCAGAGACTGTTCACCTTTGTAGTGATAATTTGTAATTAACTAATCACTTGTCTTTTCCAAGCAGTATAATGTGAAAATGAGAAATATATTTCGGGCCAGTGTAATTATGCGTGTAAATAAAAATAACTAGAATAAAAATAAAAAACCTGAGTGGTTTAGGCCAGTCTCTTGATGTGGCTTTTGATAAAGTCAAGAGACTCAGTGATAACGAAGGGTGTGCAGTTTTACTTTGGGTGTAATGTACAGTGATCTCTTACAGTAAGCTTGTTCTCTGAAGCACTCTAAAATAGCAATAACACTATGTGGGTTAGATGGGGAGGTGACTGAGTCTGGAAGAATGCTTACTGAATACGCATGAGGACCCAGTCCAGATCTCCAGCACTCACTTAAGACTGGACATGACCATGTGTACCTGGAACCCCAGCATTGCTGGCTGGGAGATAGTGGATCCCAGAAGCTCCCTGGCCAGCTAACGTGACAGAAATGGAATGTTTCAGGCTCAGAAAGGACCTAGCTCAAATGAAGAAGGCAGGAGCAATAAAGAAGGATACCTTCCTATGACCTCCACACACATCAACACTTGCATACATCTATCCATCCATCCATCCATCCATCCATCCATCCATCCATCCATCCATCCAATCAATAACAGTTATCATTGAGTATTGTACATACAGAACACATATGAGGAAATGAAGGGTCTGGAAAACAAGTAGCAAGAAATGATGTAAGAGAATTTAGTGCATGATAATCCTGACTGTGGCATACATTGTCAGTGATTCACAGCCCTGGGCTGCAGACAGGTGCAGGTAGTTGGAATAGGAATAGTGCTCAGCAGCATTGCCTAGGGAGCAGGAAGGTAGCGCCACACTGGCAGGAGTGTGCAGCTGGACTCCTCATGTCTCACGTCCTGGTGGAAGAGGATAAAGGGCTGTGTACTCTGTTTTGGGTCAGCCCCTAGTGATCTATTTCTTAAAGGTTCCACAACTTTAGTGCAACCATCTGGGCTAAGTGTTCTCATAGACACCTTTAAGGGACATAACACATTCAAACCACAGCATACTAGAAGCCAGTCATCTGCATATTATTTTGGGTGCATTTTACCCATCTTTTAAGCTTGCCATATATGTATACTTATGAACAAAAATAGACAATTGTCCTTTCCATGACCAAAAGCAATTTGGGGAGGAAAAGGTTTATTTTGCATACATTTTCACATCACTGTCATTGAAGCTTCAGGGCAGGAACTCAAACAAGACAGAACTTGGAGGCAGGAGCTGATGCAGAGGCCATGCAAGTGTGCTGCTTACTGGCTTGCTCAGCCTGCTTTCTTACAGAACCGAGGACTACCACCCCAGAAGTGGCCTCACCCACAATGCTCTTGGTCCTCCCCCCAACAACCATTAATTAAGAAAATGCCCTACAGGTTTGCCTACCTACAATTCAGTTATATGGAGGCATTTGCTCAGTTGAGGTTCCTTCCTCTCAGATGAATTCAGGTGTGTCAAATTGTCATAAAACTAGCCAGGACAGACTGACATCTCTACCAAGTAGATTTCTGTAGGAGAACTTAGGCATGGTTGCAAATATTTTAAACAAGTTTGTTAGAGTACAGATCCCATCAGTGAAGTTAAATAAAAAAAAAAAAAAAAGACATTTTGGTAGCGATTTCTCAGCTCACAAAGCTCTTTTAAAATGTATTTTTATTATTACTATTAATTATGTGTTTATACCTGCTATGGTGTGTGTGTAGGTCAGAGGACAAGTTTGTAAAGTTAGTTTTTTTTTTAACCTCTCTGTGGGATACAGGGATTGAACTCAGGGTTAGGCTCTCCTCTGCCCCTCTCTATCCAATCGNCCCCCCCCCGAGCCATCTTGCTAGCCTGAGCTCCAAAATCTTAGAAAGAGATCTGTAAGATCTCTTATTTATATTCTGTCCTTTTTTCTTGTTGATTTTTCCCTTCATTTTTTTAATTTGCCTAAGGTTTTTTTTTAAAACAGTATTATTATCAATTTCTAAATAGGAAATTTTCTTAGTAATTATTTTCAAGTTCCCAGTTTTTAAATTTAACATGTACTCTCAAAGATTTAGTTAAAATATGAAATTAAAAAAAATTGGGTGGTGGCGCACAGCTTTAATCCCAGCACTCTGGAGGCAGAGGCAGATCTCTATGATTTTGAGACCAGACTCTCAAGAGTGAGTTCCAGGACAGGCTCCAAAGCTACAGAGAAACCCTGTCTTGAAAAACAAAACGAATCAAAGTGATATTAATGCAACGTTAACAATTACAGGTACCAGGAGGCAATCCAGAAGTGGGACGAAGCACTGCAGCTGACCCCAGATGATGCCACCCTTTATGAGATGAAATCACAGGTACCAACCATAAGGAATTTGATTTTTCTATATAATTAGGCAGTGTTTGTTTGGTGAGCAGTGCTGAACAAATATGTCTGCTCTCATTTCTTTCAATACAATTTATTTTTAAAAATTTTATTTAAAATGTTGTATATAAAGTTAGAAATGCATTTGCTTTTGCAATGAGGTCAATTGTTATTTCAACCTAGCTTTGAGAAGGTATAACATGGATAAAATTATTAGTACATTTTTAAAATAGACGGCAAGTTTCTACTTTGGTTGTAAATTAATTGTCTACCAGTAGCTAATTTTTCTTCAGAATGAGGGTGCATTGTATTTGGAATATGTGTATACATATACACACACATACAGGTATACATGTGTGTGTGTATATGTATATGCACACGCATATCTATATATGTATTTAAATGTATGGATCTGCTGCTCCAGCATACCTAGAGCTACTCCTAGTGGAGTGTGTACTAGTCACTCAGTGAAGATGTTTGAGGAAACCCAGACCTAAGCCTGACCAATGGAGGAGCAGAGGTTGAAACTGCCTTTCATGTACAAATTGCCCATCTAATGTCGCTTGATTATCAATAATTTCTACTTAAACAGATCTTTTTTGGGGGCATTCATTTCAGATTTATCAGATTCTTTGTATAAATTAAATGTGAGAGCATATCAGATCCCGGTAACAAGACTATGAGAAGGAATTCCTTGTCAATTCTTATTCCTAACAAACAGGCTCAAACTCTCACTATTGAAGATACTGGAATTAGAATGACCAATGTTGACTTGATCAGCTACTTTGGTAAGGTTGCCAAAACTACATTTGTGAAAGCCTTTATGGGTGCTTTGCAGGCTGGTGCAGATACTTTTGTGATTGGCCAGTTTGGTTTTGGTTTTTACTGTGTATTTCATTGCTCAGAAAGTGATTGTGGTCACCAAGCATGTAATGGTGAGCAGCGTGCCTGGGAATCTTTAGCAGAGTGATCATTCACAGTATGGCCTTGGTGAAACATCTTCAAAAGCTTAAAGAACTGGTTTAGAACTGCTGCAGCTGATAAAGCCCATTGATAAGGGCTGTGTCCAACAGCTGGAGGGATTGGAGCAGGGGAGTGTAGTGTCAGTCACCAAAGAGGGAGGGAGTGGAACTTCCAGAAGACGAAGAAGAGAGAAAGAAAGAAAAAAAATAAAAGAGGACGAAAAGACAAAATTTCTACTCAATTATGGAAAGCCATTTTGGAGGTAAAGGTGGAAAAGGCAGTCATATCAAACTTACTGGTAACTTCCCCAGGCTGTATGTCACAACCACATAGGAATGGACAGCAAACATGAAAGAGGACAGCCGTAAGAGACAAATCAACAGTGAGTTACATGGCAGCAACGACACCTATGGGTGCACCCTGACCACTCCATTTCTGAAAAGCAGAAGGTGGAGGCTGACAAGAATGACCCATCTCTAAAGTGTCTGGTCATCTTGCTGCATGAAACTGTACTCCTGGCTTCTGCTTTCAGTCTGGAAAGTCTTCAGACACATGCTAACAGGATTCGGAGGATGAACAAACTCGGTCTAAGATGGTCCTGCTGCTGTAACTGAAGAGATGCCACCCTGCGAAGAGATGGGGGAAGGCAGCTTCGTCAGAAGAAGCATATAGCTACATCTTCATTTCTCACCTTCTTTTCTTCTGTTTTACAGGGGTTTTTGGTTTACTTTTGTTAATATTTAAAATATCATTGTGACATTATAACTCAGGAAGATAAGTTTTTTTTCTCCTTAGGTATCAAAGGTTTCTCCTTGGCTTATTTGAACAGGTTAGTGGAACATTTGTTGTAGGAAGTTCTCTTCTAGGATCCACTTTTCAACCTTTCCATCCCCTCTAGTTATTTCTGCATGCACTAATCTTACATAATTCAGTATGTAAGCTAAATCAACTTGATAGGAAGAATTCCCCACAGGGCTTGTTGTTCAAAAGAAGTACTGAGGAACAAGACATTTAACCTCTCTAGGTCTCGTAAAGCCAACCGAACAGTAACTAAGTAAGGCTTATGAGTGGAAGTGGAGGTCCCAAGTCACATCTGCCTAAGAGGTAAATACAGATGAGATGAAAAGAAAATAAATTGCATAGATCTGGGCAAAAAAGCTGGGAAAGATATGATTACCAGTTAAGAAACTGGCATTTGTATTAAATATGCATTTCTAGTACTTAGTGGCAACCCTCTGTATAGAGAGTCTCTGAGCACCTGAACTAGTTATCTAAGGAATACTGTCTCAGACAGCCGGGTGTGGTGGCACATGCTGCCATCCCAGCACTCTGGGAGACTAAGGCAAGGAGAGTGAGGAGTTCCAGGAGCTTGAGCTCCATAGGGAAACTCTCAAAATTAAAGCAGCAAAACAGCCTCTAAAAAGTGATTGCAGTTCAGCCTTGATGTATATTAACAAGTATTTTTAACACATAATACTCTGAAATGAAAGTCACATGCTTTAATAGCTTTATTTTATTGAGGAAGAACACAAATAAATTAATTTCACTGAAGCAGGTTCCTTAAAACCCTTCATTTGAAAGCGTTCACATTCAGGGCTAAAATATGTGCAGGTTAGGGGAAGATTCGTGGGAACTATATGAAGAGTTTAATTTAGAACCTAAGAATGGTGTTCGTGTCAAGAATGTTCCACAATGTTCATGGACTCAAAGGATACAAATGAAGTACAACTGTTTCCCATGGGCGATCAGATCTCTAGTTCTGTGAATTTTCTGATGTGTGGCTTAAAAAGCCCAGTTGTGAGGCCTGCAGGGTGTTTAATTCTCATCGCAGGTAAACTGTTATTGTTGGATGACTGGTTGAATGAATTCATTTATCTATGTTTAACAGCAAGACTTGTGTGTTTCCTAAAAATTACACTGTACTATAGTAACTGTAATGAAAGCCAGCCTTCAGACAGCCTTGAGCTGCTGTGGCCGGACAACCACTTGGTTTCGATCAGATGGACATAGAGACACTTTTTATTTTCACTTATTTGGGGAGTAAAAGTCTAGAATTTCTGATATTGAATGTAAAGTAGAGGATAAAATCCATGGAAATGCTGTATGCCGAATTAAAATATATTTTGTAAAGGAAAATCATTGCTTGCATATAATTACCTACCAGTAGTTTGCTAGTTTATGCTGCATAAGCTCATGACAGGTTTTGTTTCTTCTTCTTTTTGGCACATAGGTCCTGATGTCCCTTCATGAAATGTTTCCAGCAGTACATGCAGCCGAAATGGCTGTCAAGCGTAACCCACACTCATGGGAGTCTTGGCAGACTTTAGGTCGTGCTCAGCTTGGATTAGGAGAGATAGTCCTGGTAAAGAAATTTAATTGTTACAATGCTCAAATTTAATTATATTTTGACTTTTAGAATAAGTTTCTTCTATTTGCATGTTGTATATTGAGTATACCCTTTACTGCCTCATCTTGGGTTCCTGTATTCTTTCTATCCCCTTTTTTTCTCAATTATCCCACCCTGTTAGTCCACATTGTTCCTCTACATAAATTTGCTTTTATTTCCATTTAATATATACATAGATTGTTTTATGTGACTTTATAAAATCTAGGACCAATGGGTGACAGAAAATATATATTTGTCTTTCTGAGATTGACTTAATGTCCTGAATATGACTGTCTCTAGTCACATTCATCTTCCTAAAAACAATATAACTTCATTCTTTATAGCTAAAACATGCGTTGTATATGTATACCCACCACATTTTCCTTTCTCGTTGTTGTATACCTGGGCTGTTTCCCACTTAGCTCTTGTGACAATTGTGCATAAATATCAATGCGTAAGCATCTCTGTGATGTGTCTATTTGGTGTCCTTTGAGTAAATACCCAGGGGTGCTGTCACAGGATCAAAACTGGGCCAAATAATAGATCAGTTTCTAATTTGTTTTTCTCCCTAAAATCCCTGTATGCTTTTCATGAAAGATTCTCACTGGGTTTTGATTTGTGTTCTCTGATAGCTAATGAGGCTGAACGTTCTTTCATGTTTATATTGGCCATTTGTATTCCATCTTTTTCTAATTTGACATTTTAAAAATTAATTGCGATTACATCATTTTCTTTTTTTCTTTCCTCCAACCCTTCCTATATCCCTCCACTTGCTCCTTCTCAAATTCATGACCTCTTCTTCGTTGTTGTTGTATCTGTGTATGTGTATGTGTGCTTATTATATGTCAGTTCACAAGTACATAAATATAATCTGTTCAGTCCGTTTAGTGTTAATTGCATGATGTGATTTCAGGGCTGACCGATTGGTATCAGATAGCCAGTTAGGGTGTTCATTTCTGGGGATGACTATGCCTCCCTCTTTCAGGATTCCTTATTCGCCTGTAGTTCTTTTTCTAGTGGTGGAGCCCTGTGAGAATGACCCCTTCCATGTTACCATGTCTATTGGTGTTGTACTTGGTCTTGTTTAGGCATCTATATTGTTGAGTTATCATGGATGAAGCTTTTCTATCTTTTCTAGGAAATACAGTCTCATAGCATATTTCCTAGTTCTATGACCCTTAGTCTTTTGTTCCTTTCTTCTTGATGGCCCTTGGGCCTTAGTTTCAGAAGTTGTGTTGTGGCTATGTACTGGGGCTATGTACATGAGGTCATGATCAGTTGTTCCATGTGTTTTGACCAATTGTGGTTTTCTGTAATGGTCTCCCTCTGTTGCAGAGAAGTTTCTTTGATGAATGGTGAGAACTACACTTATCTGTGGGCATAAGAATAAGCATTTAAAGTGCAGTTATAAACTGTTGATTTATTAAAGTAGTAGTAGTAGATTCTCCTCTAAGATCCATGACTCATTAGCCCCAGGAAGTTGTCTAGGTTTCCAGTACTAGGCACCTTTTCCTTGCTGTTGAGCTGGCCTTAAATCCTATTAGATAACTATTGGTTACCACCAAGATATGAGGTGTGCCCTTAGGGTGCAGTATTTTGCCACGATGGTCCTTGTTCTTGTTCAGAGGCACTAGATAGGACTTTTGGTTGCTTCCCTTCCTTAGCAAGTTATTTAGTGCCTTGTGGTGCTATGAAAGCTTCTCCTCAGGGAGCAGACCTTTGAGTCAGTTTAGCTCAGATCTTGAGTCCTGTATCTGAAGTGCATGATTTCTCAGCAATAGTGACTTAACATTACACCTCTGAGGGGCAACCAGAGGCAACATCAATAGCCTACAATGTCTTAGGAGTCTCTAGGATTACCCTGACCAACACTGTGACTGGGTTTCTCATGCCCGTACTGGAGTTTCTTTTACAGTCTGTGACTCTTGTGGGGAGCATTATTAGTCTGAGCGGCATAATATTGTTTAAGCCATATATGTATGTATATATATATATATATACATACACACACACATATATATACTAATATGCCTATTTATATTTGTTGTTGATTTCATATATTGCAGCTTTTTGGAGCTTATTAGTCTTCACAGTTTTTTTTTGTTTGTTTATTTGAGATTCACTATTTTGTCCAGGCTAGCCTTGACCTCCTTGGTGCAAATCATCCTCCTGTTTTAGTTTCCTGAGTAAGCGAGGACTCAGGCACCTTTCCCTGCGACTGGCAGTTCTGATAGTTATCTTGTGGAGTCTTTCTATAAGTAAGATAATGTCACCTGCAAATGGGGTTAATTTTACTTCTTCCTTTCCATTTTGATGATTTATGTATTTTTTTAATTCTCTGGCTTAATTTAAAGTTCAGTTTTGAACATAAATGGGAAGGGCATACCAACTTGTCTAATACCAAATGATCAGCCCTGAAAACATACATGCAAGTAACATTATATAGACTGAGGAGGTTATATTTAGGAATATATACATATATATATATGCATAACAATGAAAAAAAGCAGTGTTGAATTTTAAAGAGTAAGAAAGAGCATATGAAAGCATTTGGAGGGAGGACAGGGAAGGGAGAAATGATGTAATTATATTATAATCTCTAAATTTAAAAAAGAGAAATGGGAAGACTGGCTTCGTTCTGATCTTGCAGGAAATCACTCAGTTTTTCACTGTTGAATGTGATGTTGGTTTTGGGTGTTCTATTGCATGGCTTTTATTTTCATGTATTCCTAGATTGTTGACTTTTTAATCACAAAAAGACACTGAATTTTGTCATATTGTTTTTCTTCACCTATTGGGACAAATCCTCTGATTTTTATCTTTCATGTGTGTTGTTATACCAGTTGTCTATGTTGAACTGTGTGATCCCCCTCTGAGGGATAAACCCTTATGTGATCACAGTGTACGATTCTGCTAAGGTGCTCAAGCCCTAGTACCAGTGCCCCTAATTTTAGCCCATTAGTGTTTTCTCAGTCTTTCCCCCTCACATCTGTATTTTTCTCTACCATAATCATCTGGACAGATGGCCTGTGTTTTGTGCTAAAATTAGCTATAGTAGTATGCTAGAGTAGACATGTATGGTTGCATACATACCCATACTCACTTGTATGTATGTAATTGTAGCTAACATGGTGATTTTCAGAAATAAGACAAATGAAAAAAAAATCTTTTTCCCCCAGGCAATTCGAAGTTTTCAAGTAGCCCTCCACATATATCCAATGAACCCAGAAATATGGAAGGAGGACCTTTCTTGGGCAAGAAAGCTCCAGGAACAGCAGAAAGTAGCTCGGAGGATTGAAAAAAAAGAAATTCCACCCGAAGGAACAGACATCTCCCCAGAGTCAATCCCTGACTATGACTTTGAAAGCGACGAGATCGTTGCTGTTTGTGCAGCTGTTGCAGAGAAACAGAAGTTGGTGTCTGCAAATAAAACCATGGTTATCGTGTCGGCTTCTGGAACTGTGGAGATAGTCAACGAGAAGGAAGAGGGCGCCTCCACCCCAGATGGCGCTGTCTTTATCAAAGCCCGATGAAGCATACGCGGTGAAAAGATGTTTGAATCTAGGTTTTTTTTTTTTTTGTTTGGTTTTGGTTGCTACTTAATGCTTAGATGACATTCGATATCCACCTTGGAGGAGGAGGGCAAAACTTGAGTTTTTCAGATGAAGCATATAAAAATCAAGTAGTGGAATTCTTTAGTGATTGGATGAGAGAAAATTATACTTAAGGTTCGCATCTTAAGTGAAATGTGTTTTGACTGTTGAGCATTTGATTGGACTGTTGGGAGAGGACATTTGAAGATACAATTTGGAAATTGTGTTCTTGAATAGAGATTCACTTGACAGGCGGTGTTATTACAATGTAGACTTGCAGACTTTTGTTCTATGATAAAGGAAGCGTGTGATTTCTCTCCCTCCTAGAAATCTGCCATTTGTCTTTTTCCATTTTCCTTGCTGCACTAGTGCAAGCTTAAATATTTCTGACATTCATCTTGATTCAAAGTTATCGTTTGGTTGTATTTGATATATTTGGAAGTTTGCCTAAAAATGCATGCAGATGTGTGTATCCTGAACATTTCCTTGAATTTTTGTTCTAATTGTGCTTATGTTTTGACTTTAAAGTTAAAAGGAGGTAACTGTTTTCTTCAGTACTTGCTAACTGTGAATACTGATGTCAGAGTGACCTTTCATTTCATTGTCAAGGTCAAGTCATCTTTGTCACAAGTCATTCATTTGTAAAGGTGAATGGCATTTGGAGATTGTCAGTAAATTCTACAATTACATTATCTTGGTCAAAACAGAGTTTCTTTCCTTTTTTCCTTTTACAGGGGAGGATGTAGCTAGGCCCCCAGCATGCTAGACTAGTACCTCTGTTGCTGAGCAAAATCCTCCTATTTCTTTTCTGATTTTTACAAGTATGCAGAGCCCAACAAACAAATAGTAAGACAGGTTTTCCTTTTTAACTCAGGCTAGCCTCAAGGCTCTTCCTGCCTTGGCATCCGGGACTACTGGGAATACAGGCGGGGGCTGCCACAGCTGATGAGTACTTCTCGCTTGTAACTTTGCAGTGGACAGTTTATAAATGTCTTTCCAAAGATGCTTTTGTGGAAGTAGTCAATGAAATGAGAAAATAGTTACACAGTTTCACACCGGTGTAAAATAGCAGACTTTAAAGGAAAAAGGCACTGGTATTATTAGGGTGTCGGTCTATGACTGACAAGCAGGGAACTGGAATGTGATTGGTAGTGTAATTCCACGTGTGCAGCAGGTGTGGCAAGGAAGCAGATGCCTCTCATCCCGGCCCTGTCGAAGGCAAGGCAGAGGACGCGTGAACTCACGGCCAGCCGGGGAGACACGTGGTAAGACCTTGCCTCAGAACAAAACAAAAACAGTGGAAAATAAAGCAACCAAAGAAAAAAGCTTATTAAAAATCCTCGTTCACAGTTACAAACCAATACTATTATTCCCGTGGGTGACTGTTTCTATTATGTATATTGTAGTACAAACAAAACGTACACAACTGTCAGGTGCTGTTCTTCCTGATATAATTGATGTATTTTTTCCCATTAGAGATGAAAGTTATTTCTGTTGTGTTGTGAAATCTTAACAAAACCAGCTGGAACATGTAATTATGGGCAGCATTTTTGTGAGGATGATATGTTTTAGAAGGTATTTTAGGGGAATGTTCATTTTTTTTTTCTTTCCGGTTGGAGAAATCAGCCGTTACTTTAAATAGTGTTATGTCCCCCTAAATTCTATCATCCGGAAATAAGCCATGGATGGAGAGAGAGGTCAGTTTTAAATAGTGTTATATCCCCCTAAAGTCTATCATCCAGAAATAAGCCCTGGATGGAGAGAGAGGTCAGCTTTAGAATGAGTGAAAAAAGGCACTTTGTTAAATAGCAAGGGATATTCTCAGAGGACAGATGGCTAGAGAGGTGAGTACGTCACAGTTGCTACATTACATATGGATATCTGTTTATTGTGTAACTTGTGAAAGAATAGCCTTTTCCATGTGTCTTGGACATTTTCCTCTTCGATTTTGAGAATTAGGTAGATTTTATTTTTCTGTGTGTAAAAGTATACATGAAACATCTGTATGGTTCCCCACGTGCACTGCTTAGTCAGTGCTAGCCATTTCTGGGAAGAACTTGTCTTAGTTTGGGAATACTTCCTCTCACTTCCTTCTGATTTTAGGAAAGATTTTTTTCATAACCTTTTATCTGAATGAAGTCACGGCTTGTGATACTGAAAGGCAGCTGTCAGTTACAGATTGCTCTTGGCATGGAGTCTGTGCCTCAACCTCAAAATAGGCAAGACTACTGTACGTGGCCTGCGTGCTGCTTCCAGACCGCTAAGCCTGTTGTCTCAACTGTTTTGGTGTTAGTGGGTCATGCTAGTCTCTTTATTACTCAGATCTAAGATGCAAAATAGACAAGATGAGGAGGAAAAGGAAGACTTAGTTATGGAGAAAGGCTCACTTTTCCAGACCACCAAAGGTACTTTAGCTAACACTTCCATGTAGGAAGAGAAAACTGCATTGGTTATTTTGCTGGGATGTGAGGAATTGTATGTAGAAGTTCACTGAGCTTGTTAATTAGAATAATGTGTTCTTATGAACCTGGAGGAAAATGACACTCATGATAATGATATAATTATGTTTAATTATCTTAAGCAACAGTATTAGTGTTAAAATTATATCGAATATGATTTGTATGGTTCTAGTTTCAAAATTGTACGGTATAGATACTTGTTAAGAGAATGAGAATAGAGACCATACCTGAAAACTTGAGACTCCTGTTAATCTCTAGAATGCAGGCGCCTGGGTGATAAAGTGTTGTATTTTAAATTAAGTTATGCGGGAGGCATTTCAGAACTCCTATCTACTACAGCTGGGGCCCATGGACAACAAAGGATGGTGACGGCGTAAGCACGCAAGTATTCTAGATTGCTCTTGTTGTTTGGCTAAAACTGATGAGTTAGAGGGATTGTCTTAGAAAACCGATACTTCCACAATTGTTAGCAGGACCACGCGGCCCCGTCGGTTTGCAGATTATGCTTCACGCAGCGACTCACGGGCTGGCTCCCCTTTTTTGCAGTAAGGGAATTATTAATCAGCTCTTTAATTCCCTTCTGTGGGAAACCCTTCAAAACCCGCTTGGTGATAGACACTCTAGGCTGTGGTTTCACGACATAGCCTGCGTCTGGATGAGTTAGGAGTGAACACAAGAACCACCATCATCATCATTGTCTTCAGTGTGTGTGTTAGAATGTGATTTTCTAAGATGACTTCAACCCAACAAAGGAGTCGCTGATTGGTGCCACGTTAGCATACAGAAACTCTTTTCAACCAGTAAGAAAGCATGACGGTTTGTGAATGGCCTCTCGACCCATGGAAGTTAAAATGAAATGAAGGAGATATATATGAAGTCACGGACCTTAGCCACATGCAGTTGAGTTGGGCCACTACGAATGCAAGAGCCACAGTGACCCTGCAGCGAGTGCACAGTGCCTCCGTGAGTGTTAGGTGTGAGCTGCCTGTGTTGTACTTGGAGAGCCGTGGACAGCTGATAAAATGGGCAGTTTCTTGGGAAATCCTGATCCCCTCCCACCTTCCAAGGAGAGGAAGGAGCGTGGGAAACAGGGCTGGACACGCTGGTCCCTTTCTCCCTTTTCTCTGCGTTGGTCAAGCCTCCTTTCAGCTACATTGTGAATCTTGCAGGAAAGGGGAAGCCTTTGCTTCAGAGCTGCCCATAGCTCAGCGAGGCCTCTCTAGGTCTGGGTTCAGTATTACTCGGTCATTATATGCTGTCATTTGGTGTCATCTCTGTGTCCCCGACTTGTCTCTTGGGTCGTTAGGCCACGAGGGAGCACAGATTGTTTAGGACTCCCTTAAGCCCTAACAAAGATTTGAATTTATTTCAAATTAAGTATGAAATTTAGCAGAAGCAAAATGTCAAAGTCCTAATCTTTTTTTAAGTTGTGGAGATTTTATTGAAAATGAATAATGTGTGTTACAAGGCACCAGGAAATTTTGCTTATACTATTTTAAAGTCTGCTGCCTGGGAATAGTAGTAAACCACAAGGCTGAAGGAAGGAACGCGGGTGAGGTTTTCTTACACGATGATCATTCAGACAGAGGAAAAGGCAGCCGCTGTAAGTTTGCAGTTTGAAAAGTTCTCGACTAACGTGTGAATATCTGCTTATCTCTGCCCGCCACTGTGCCCACCCAAAAGGTCTCTACAAATCGGAAGTGTCTAGTTCACCTCTTCTCCCCCCCCCCCCCGTACCCTGCTCTATTCAGTGACCTATCTGCTTTCTGTGACTATAAATTAGATTTTTCTTTTTTTGTGAAATTATAAATGAATAGATCACACAGTATGTACTCTCATGTCTGGCATATTTTGATTAGAACAGTGCATTTTGTTCTTCCATGCTCAGATTGATCCCTGATTTTTACACGTGAGCAACACTTTCTGTTCTGTTCTGTTCCTCTAGTATCCTCTTGTAGGAATACACCACAGTGTGTTTAACTGCTGGTGAAGATGAACTCTTAGGTTGTTTCAAGTTTTGCTTTATGAATAAAGCTGCTTTGTACAAGCGACCCATTCCGTTTATGGACATATGCATTACTTTCTTTTGGGTAAATGCATAGGATACAGGCCGATTCTTGCTGTGTGTGGAGCGTATTATATGAAGCCTTTAAGGATCTCCCAAACTGTTTCCCTAAATTTCCCTTATTTTGTATTTTCTAGCAGTTGCTGAAGAAGTGTTTTCCCACTCATTTGTCAATCTTGGTATTTGTCCATTTTTATCAGTCTCTCCAGGTTAGTGGATGTTTTTTTTTTTTTCTAAGTATGTATTTCCCTGGTGATGTGGGGCTGCTCTCCTTCCTTCCTTCCTTCCTTCCTTCCTTCCTTCCTTCCTTCCTTCCTTCCTTCCTTCCTTCCTCCCTTCCTTCCTTCCTTCCTTCCATCTGTCCAGCTATCTCCCTCCCTCCCTCCTCCCTCCCTTCTTCTTTTCTTTTTTTGCACTTGCTCTGTAGTTGACTGCTGTGTCGTTAAGGATGAACTTGAACGACTGCTCTCCCTCTTGCCACCTCCCAAATGTCGGGATTATAGGCATGCGACCACACCTGGTTTAAAAATAGCTAATGTATGTATTATGTGATATTGCGTGATAATATTAAAGACTGAAAGAGCCTGTTTGCTGCTGTGTTGATATGTCTCACAGTTCTTTAGTACTTGAAAGTCTCCTTCCTCTCCCACTACTATTTTCATTTTTTTTTAAATATAATTTTTTTATTGAAAAAAAAAAAAGATTTCCGCCTCCTCCCCGCCTCCCATTTCCCTCCCCGTCTCCCTTTTCCCCCCTCCTCCCTCTCCTCTCCCCCTCCCCCCCACTCCTCTCCCCCTCCCTCTCCAGTCTGAGGGGCAGTCAGGGTTCCCTGCCCTGTGGAAAGTCCAAAGTCCTCCCCGCTCCATCTTGGTCTAGGAAGGTGGACATCCAAACTGGCTAGGCTCCCACAAAGCCAGAATATAAAGTAGGATCAAAACCCAGTGGCATTGTCCTTGGCTTCTCAGCAGCCCTCATTGTCCGCCATATTCAGAGAGTCCGGTTTTATCCCATGGTTTTTCAGTCGTAGTCCAGCTGACCTTGGTGAGCTCACAATAGATCAGCCCCACTGTCTCCGTGGGTGGGTGCACCCCTCGTGGTCCTGACTTCTTTGCTCATATTTTCCCTCCTTCTGCTCCTCCTTGGGACATTGGGAGCTCAGTCCAGTGCTCCAGTGTGGGTCTCTGTCTCTATCTCCATCCATCTCCAGATGAAGGTTCTATGGTGATATGCAAGATATTAATCAGTATGGCTATAGGATAGGGTCATTTCAGGTTCTCTGTCCTCAGCTGCCCCAGGAACTAACTGGGGACATCGCCCTGGGCACCTGGGAGCACCAAATCTCTTGCCAACCCTAAGATGGCTCCCTTAATTAAGATGTGTGCTTCCCTGCTCCCCTATCCGACCTTCCTTTATCCCAAACATCCCGTTTCCCAAGTTCCCCCCAACCTCCCCTTCTCACTTTTCTCTCCCCATCTCCCCTTACCTCCCTCCCCCCCCCCCCCAAGATCCCATTTTTTGCCCGGCAATCTTGTCTACTTCCCATAATCAGGAGGATAGCTATATGTTTTTCTTTGGGATCACCTTCTTATTTAGCTTCTTTAGGAGATCAAATTATAGACTCACTGACCTTTATTTATCTCTAGAAACCAATTATGAGTGAGTACATCCCAAGTTCATCTTTTTGGGTCTGGGTTACCTCACTCAGGATAGTGTGTTCTATTTCCATCCATTTGCATGCAAAATTCGAGAAGTCATTGTTTTTTACTGCTGAGTAGTATTCTAATGTGTATATATTCCACACTTTCTTCATCCATTCTTCCATTTTAATTTTGAGATTATAACATAATCAACAATTCTTCCTTCCCTTTCCTCCCTCCAAACGCTCTCTTAACCCCTCCCCATTCTCCTTCAAATCCATGGCCTCTTTTCACTAATTGTACATATATGTGCACACACACACACACACACACACACGCACACGCACACTCTTTAACATAACCTGTCCAGTCTGTGTAGTGTTACTTGTTTGTATGTTTTCAGGGCTGACCATTTGGCACTGGACAACCAATTGGTGTTCTCTTCCCTGGGAAGAACACTTCTGCTCCTCAGTTGCCAGCAGTCCCTGTGAAGGATTCAGGCCTGTGGGCTTTTCTCTGTCCAGTTTGACATTGTCCACTGCTGTCACCCTTGCTCTGTTTGCATTTGGGCGGTCATGTGGGTGGGGCTTCTGATGTAGCTTCTGATGTTATTAGGCGACACAATCTCAGAACAAACTCCTTAATCTTCTGGTTCTTCCTTTTTAAAAATTTTATGTGCATTGGCGTTTTGCATATATGTTTGCGAGGGTGTCAGTTCCCTGGAACTGGAGGTACAGACAGTTGTGTGCTGCTAGGTGGGTGCTGGGGATTGAACCTAGGTCCTCTGGAAGAGCAGCCAGTGTTCTTAACAGCTGAGTACGATCTCTCCAGCCTGATCTTCTGGCTCTTAACAATCTTTCTGCCCCTTCTTCTGCAATGTTCCTTGAGCTTTAGGTACAGGAATGTTTTGTAGATGTAGCCATTGGGATTGGGCTCCACAACTCTGCATTTTGATTGGTTGTGGTTTTCTGTAGTGGTCCTCCATCTTTTACAAAGAGAAGTTTCCTTTATGAGGGGTGAAGACTACCCTTCTCTTTGGTTATAAGTCATTTAGACTTTAGTTAAGGATTATGCTGGTTTAGTAAAGTGGTGGTTGAAGATGGTTCTCTTCTAAGAGCCATGCCTTTGTGTTCCTGGGTAATTGACTAGGTTTCCAGTGCCAGGCATGAGATCTCTTGTTGAGTGGGTCGTAAGTTTAATTAGAGAGTTGTTGGTTCCTGCCAGGGTGTTTGTGCTGGTGCCGTATCCTTAGGGTTATCATGGCCTGCTGGTCATTGCCGTGGTTTATAGGCGTAGCTGGGTAGGACTGTTGGTTGTCTCCCTCCTTTAGACGCCTCCATGGTGCCTTCTGGTGCCAGGACAGCTAGTCCTCAGGCCAGTCCCAGCTCAGGGGTCTCTTGGTCCTGTTTCCAGAGTGCATAGTGTCTTCAGCAATAGGGACCACTTCCCTTCCACTTCTGGTCCCCCATTACTTTAAAAAAGAATTAGTCATTTTTCTTTAGTATTTTTCACGTTTTAGATTTTGATTATTTCATCCTACTTGATACTATTAGTTTTCGTCTGTGTTTGTATGGCTAATAAATGGGTTCTTAGTTCTGGAGGCTGGTAAGATTCATTTTCTTAGCGGGGGTAGAGGAGGAGGTTTATAGCCTTGACTACTTCTACCGGAAGTTAAATATTACTAGCTATGACTTTTTAGTCTTATCAGCATTAATTGATTGCCTTTGTCTGGTGTGCTTTCCTTGTTGCAGGGATAAAAGACCTCACAGAGAAACCTGAAGAAGGAAGGCATTGTTTTGGCTCATGATTTGAAGATACAGTCCATCATGGAGTGGAAGGCGGGGTGGCAGCAGCACCAGGTAGCTAGCTGGTCATGTGGCATCTGCAGTCAGCAAGCAGAAAGAGCCAATGCGGATGCCCAGCTTGCTTCTCCTTTCTGTGCAGTCCAGGATCCAGCCTGTGGGATGGTTCATCCACATTCAGGGTGGGTGTTTCTTCTGGTAACATCTCCTAGATATACCCGAAAGCCTGTGTCCTAGATGATTCCACATAGCAATAAGCTGACGAGCTTAGCTGTCTGATCTGGGTCATTCTTTCACATAATGATAGTGATCATTCTGTTTCTCTTTTGGTCCCAGAAAACTCTAGAGAGACACTCTGTGAGTCAACTGTATTTTCTTTCTCTGGGAAATAATTTATATAGTAAAGCCATTTAGGAGTAAAGACCTGACTCTTTTTCATTTAAAATTTAAAGTTTGAAGTTAGCATACAGGATGATGGGTTTCATTATGGCGTTTTCATATATGGATGCCACTATGCTTTGTTCTTAGTCTTCGCTCCTCCTCGCTGCCTCCTTTGCTTCTCCCTTCCCTCCCCCACACCGTCCCCTTTTCTTTTTTCTTGTCACATAGAGTCCATTTTCCCCACTTCCCTTAAGGTATCTTCCTTCTCATAGTCCCTAGTTACATATTCCACACCTTGTACAGACAGACAGACACCCCAACTCTCTCTCGCTCATCTGCATATGAAATAAAAGTATTTGTCTTTCTGAATCTACTTACTCCCTTTAATGCAGCGGTCTCTGGTTCTGTCCATGTTCCCACACATGTCTTTCTTAACATTTAATAGGTTGGTTCCCTAGTGTTCTCCAGTGGTGACCAATGAACTGTTTAGCTTTGTTGCATCTTATAAAGCCATGCATTAAGACATATTTTTTGATGTATTTCAGTTCTTAAACTTGCTATGCAAGTTAATTTTCAAGGTGGTTGTATTAATTTTGCACTTCTGCCAACCATGTGGGAGATTTTCTAAAGTGTACTTGGTGTTCTCTAACTTCTTACATTCTTACTGTGTTTTAATTCATTTTTTTAGCAGTTAAGGCATTATTGTTTTTTTTTTTTTTTTTTTTTTTTTTTTTAGTTAAAGGTATTATTTTTTTTTTTTTTTTTTTTTTTTTTTTGCTACAGGTGAGTCTAGCTTATGGTATATATAGTTCCTGTCTCCCGTGTAATTTATTGTGATTTGGTTCATTCTCAAGTCAATATTTAGTGATTGTGTGTATGATTGCTACATAGAGTTGAGTTAGACTAGAGTATTTATCTTTCCATTCCTGGACCCCTCTTTGTTTTTCCTGGAGTCAGTAAGCATCTTGATTTTTTTTTTCTATGTATATATTAGAAAAATACCCCAACTGTATAATGGATTTACAATTTTCCTTTTAGTAATGCTACATACCAAACAATCCACCTTAAAAAAAAAAAAAAAGTCTTAGAATGGCCTAGCGTTCTTCCCCGCTGACTTCACTGTGTTCTTGACCGAGTGCTTTCATCATTCATGGGATTCGGTTTATTTATTTATTTTTTTTTGCAATAAGTCCTGGTTTATTCTTCTCTGGAAAGAAAAGTAATGATTTACCCGTAGAGAGATTGTGAGTGAGTGTTGTCTAAGGCATTGGTAAGTTTGGTGTTCTCTTCTGTCCCCTTCATCCAATGGTGGGGACTGGAGAGAATGGCAAGGCAAGGTATTGAATGGATGGATGGATGGCAGAGATGTTGACGCTGATCTGAGAACAGGGGATCCAGTTCTCTTCCCCTCTTCCTTTACCCCATGTATGGCTCTAAAGCACCAAGTGTGGCCCATGGCAACTTCATGCGCAATGAGATTAATTGGTCTGTCGTGTTGTAAAGCTTTGCTATCTAGTTCCTTTTCCCATGCACCTGGAAGGCAGTCATGAGCTCCTGACTTCAGAATCAGGCTCCGGTGTGGATGTGGAGTCAGGAGGCTGGAGGCAGTGGGAGGGCGGAGAAAGCATCATTTGTTTTTGCTCTGAAACTAGTTTAGGGAGTTTATAGAAAATGCCTTGTATAGCATGGATTTTTCTAACTTCAAATTCAAGACTAAAAAGTATAGCTAACAGTAAATATCAGTGTGCCTGGGTTTTACCATGGTCCTTCATGTTTTGTCTCCAAGAAGAAACCTGTAGAGAGGAATGTTTGGGAAAATAACACTGATTCCATGACTCTGGGTCGGTTGCCTTTCAGCAGCTCTAGCAGTTACATTTCTTTCTTGAACTTGACCTAGTTGGTTACATTTACCTGCTTGTTTATCGTGTTGTACTGGGACGAGATAGGATTCTATATCAGTCAGACAATCCACAAGTGTTCTACAGCAAGGAATGAGAAGAACAAATGGTCTTTACCTTTGAACTGTTAAATCCTATAAACCACATGGAACAGACGACGGAAAAATGGCGGCCTTCTTTAGCTGTTCTTTAAAGCATATACTAGATTCAGCAATAAGTTAAATTGTCCATCTGTCAAGTTCATTTGTTGACTTTCAAATTCCGTTTGGAGATAAAGCTTTTACAGGAGGTCCTCTCTGGTGTGCCTAGGCTTGTATGTGTGAGTGGAGATGTGCACATAGCGTGGAAATACAGACAAAGGCCATGTGAGGACACACGGAGAAAGAGAAGTCTCACGAGAAGCCAGCCCTGCCAGCACCTTTATCTTAAACTTCCAACCAATAGAACTCCGAGAAAATAAATTTCTGTTGGTTAAGCCATCTAGTCTGTGGCAGCTTTGGCAGATTATCATAGCCACATAAGCCACTAAAAATGGGGGAAAAATCTCCAATGGACATTTCTCTAAAATATAAAGCTAGTCAGTAACTATATGTATGTACTTTGAAAATATCATTATTCATTAAGGACATGCAGTTAAACTACTTCACACCCATCAGATGGCTATAATAAAAATACAGTAGTAAGTTTTGCAAGGTTATTGAAAAAAATCAAGGACTTATACATTGTTGGTGGGAATGTAAAGTGTTTTAGTCATGTCGAAAAGAGTTCAACATTGCTTCAAAATACTGAACTTAGAATTACTATATGTCCCAGCAATTTCAGTTATGAGCCCAAAAGTCTTAAAAACACACACAAAAAAGCTCTTAGCATTATTTAAAATAGCCAGGATGTGAGATGAGTGCAGCACTGGCCAATTAATGTGTGGATTTTACAAAGCGGTATGTCCATTTCATGGGGTATTATTCAGATATAAAAAGGAATAAAATATTGATTAATGTTGCCATATCAACAAACCGTGACAATGTTATTCTGACACAAAGATGGCCAACAAAAATGCCAGTTACTGCATTATTGCCTTTGTATGGAAAGTTCACAATAGAGAAATCAATAGGCATATATTGGTTCTCGGGCTAGGACTGATAACAGTGTGGACTGATTGCATATGGCTTGTGATTTCTTCTTGGGATGATGCAAATGTTTGGGAATTGGAAGTCAGTGAAGGATGTAGTTTTTAGTTGAATTTACTAAAACATTTTAAAGGATATGTACTTTGAAGAATAAATGTCATGGTATGTAAATATTTTAGTAAACAAGATTAAGCCAAGTCAGTGTTCTTGGTACTGAACCTGAAGTAAGCATGGGTGAGATATGTCTTACATATTACTAATGCTAATTCATGAGTGAGGCTGTGCTTGCCCCAGGGACACAAATGAAGTTACACACACACACACACACACACACACACACACACACACACACACACACACGTTAATTTATATTTAAATCTAGGGGTGGGTGATCTCTGTGGATCATGGTCATGGAAGTGAAACAAAATTCTTATTCCCAACACATTTTCTGAAACCATTGTTTGTTGGGCATTCATTCAGATGAGGACAGAAAGCATTGTAGAAGTCAAGTCTGCATGCTCCTTTCTTGCCATCCTTATCTGAATGCCAGAGCCAACAGGCCTGCACAGATGGTGTCTGGCTTTCCTGACACTGTCTAAAATACCTTTAATATTTGCAAATAGCAAACCATGACCTCAGGCCTCGAGACTGTTGCTAAAGTAATCCTAAAACAGGCAGCGTCATTGTCACCCAGGAAAGCTGAGGAAATGTCCATCTTACCGAATCAGAGACCTCTGCTGGGTGTGCAGGCGCACGCCTGTAATCTCGGAATGCCATAGGAGTGACAGGCCAGCCTGAGCCATACAGCAAGATTCTGTCAAAAAAGGCAGATGGACAGACAGGCAAGAAAGAAAGAAAAGAAGAAAGAGAGGGGGAGGGGAGGAAGGAAAAAGAAAAAGCAGGGTAAGGAAGAAAGAAAAAAATTTCTGTAGGTTCTGTTGAGGACTTGTTCAGGCTGCTGTCTCGGGAATGCCAATATGCTGATACAGAGAAAACGCTAATAGGAAGTGTTGATGTCAGTAGTTAGGGATAACGATTTGGATACCGAGCATGCAGCTAGTTAAGTATAACATTGCTTCTCCCACCAGCAACATACACTGGTGACATTTAGTACTAATTGTCTGTCACTTGGATCACGGTTCCTCAGTGCCATTCATTCTCCACTAAGCAGATATAGGCTTTATATTATGCTTGACATCTTAAAAATCGCACTGTTTTAAAATGTTCATCTCATTAAGGGGGTAATTAATCTTCATCCTCATTTCTTTAGCCAAGTTTAAGGTGGCCTCTACCTCCTGAGGGTATGTCTCTTGGCCAGGTGTTTGACACGGCACGTCTCCACTCTGCACTTAAGAGACAATGCACCTCTATGCATTCCCTCCCTGTGTGAAACTGATTCTTGGCTGCCACAAGCTTCTGCCGGGTCTGCCCACCTGTTGAAATCCTCACGCAGAGACGTGACTTTTTCTTTCTCGTCTTCTCTGTCTCGTTCTTTCAGAGGCTAGCCAGAGCCCGAGTGTGCATTTTCTGGTACACTGGGCTCCCTTTCGAAAGCTCTACTTCCTACCGTGTGGCTGCTGCCTGCCATGTGGCTGACCTCCATGCCCACTCAGCTGAGATGCTGTGGCCCCTTCTCTCTTCTGTCCTCCTCTGGGCAGCTGGTAAGACTGACAGCTTGCTGTCTTAGAGTTTTTCCTCAAAATCCAATAAAAGTGTCTTCAAGCTTCAGACAAAACAAAAACAATCATCAAGAAGAACCCTTTCATTTTAAAAGGATATATATATGGCACCCCAAAACAAAACAACAGCACAAAACCCCATACACCGTTTCCCAAATTGAGGCTGTGGAACGCAGATCAATACAATTATTTATTGTAATCTCCGGAATAATTTCAGTCGGTTCAGCTGCTCTTTATACCCTCCTCGGTGTCAGGCTCAGAAGTCGGTCACAACCAAGCAACTCACAAGAACACATTAACAAAACATGCTTAGTATTTCTTGGAGAAAGCGCCTCCGAGCACGGGCACAGCATTCCTGGGTGTCACACAAAACTGTCAGTTTCCGTTGACACACAAAAGAGTGGAAACCACGCCAGAGCGCCCTCTTCCTCTTTAGATGGGAAAGGACGCTGTCAGACATTGTGTTGGCAAGTAAAACTACACACACTTTCAGGACAGAACAAGCCACTTAGACTTTTTATACTACACACTTCAATTATGGGCAGCCAGAGACTTTAAAAAAGTATGTTACATCTTTAAAAATACCAATTAGTGGGGGCAAAAGTTGAAAATATTTACCAGCAATGTTAGGTACTCCTGAAATCACAGTTTTCTGGATAAATAAA